ATGTCCCAGGGGCATGGTCCTGGGAGGGTAAAGGCTGAGGGTGTTGTGGAGGGGCACAGCTGGGCTCTGGTTACCCAGGAATGCTGGGTTTTTTCTTTAGAAAATCTTTTAAGGTTCTGTGGATGTCCTGGGGATCACTGCAGGTGAGTCACCCCACCTGCTCACTCTGGCACCTGCAGGTTTGGGCTGTGCCCTGCCAGGGGAGTGAGGCTGAAGTGATACAAGAACAGGCCTGGGGGAGGGTGCAGACAGCTCTGGGCATGGCATGGAGCAGGAGGACTCAGGCTCCAGCCCCTGGGGTGGAGGAGGGAGGATGGGTAGGATCAATCCCGTGGGTGAGACCTGTGACATCTTTCAGATCCTGAGAGCCGGGTCTGCCTCAGGAGGGCTGGGAGCCAGGAGGAAGACAGCTACATAAATGCCAACTACATCACAGTGAGTGTCCTCTCCTCCCAGGGCTCTCAGGGCATCAGGCTGCAGGTGCCACACTGGTCACACATGCTGGGGCACTGCCACCTGCTCTCCTGTGGCTGCCCTGGGGCTGCAGGTTTAACTTACCACCCCTGCTGGAGCTGGAGATATGGCTCCATGTGCACAGGGCAGACACACTGCTCCTGTGGTGGGAGAGTCTCTCAAGGGAGCTGCTCTCAGCTCCTGGGCACACTGAACACCCCAAAAGGCTCCCTGGCAGCGGCTTCTCCATCTGCTCCTCACACTCTGGCCCATTGTCTGGCAAAGGCATGGGAGGCAAGCTGTGTCAGCAGGTTATGGCAGCTCAGAGATCCTCATCCTCACTCAGAAGGGATTTCCTCTCTGCTCAGGGAGCTTGCTGCAATTTCCCAGGAAGGTAGCTAATTAAAATGGGGTGTGGCTTATGCTTAGCACATGGTGGGTTCCTTTCCAGAGATGAGAAATCCCCAGACCCTAGAGTGTTACATAGACAATTTAGTTTTGGTTCCATCCCTGTGCAAACCTTTCCAGGCTGCAGTCTCTGCCAGAATGGGATCTCTGTGAGCCAGGTACCAGCTTTGCCCTTGGGGCAGGTTCTGGCTGAGCCACTGATCTCACTGCAGCACCCAGCCCTTGGGGCTGCCCAGGGCCAGAAAAGCAGAGGGGGACTCTGGGTGCTGTGAGTGAGCCATGAGGGAAAGCAGGATGTGGACAAGCAGCCCACAAGAAGTGCTGGCTGGGATGACACACAAACCCCTGGGAGGTGGAGCTGTCAGGAGGGCAGTCAGGAGAATTTCTCTTCTGGTGCTGTTTGTGGCTCAGACCCACAGCAGCAAGCAGCACCCAGCAGGGAGGGTGAAAGCTCCCTGAGACAGGAGCACTGTGCCCAGAGCTGCTGGGAGCTGCAGGGACAGTTTGCCCACGGGCAGCAGAGGAGCTGTGTGTTCCTGAGGCAGCCTGGCAGCTGCACAGCAGGTGACACTGCCACCCTGTCCCTACACCCTAGGTGTGGGACACCCAGGAATGCTGGGATTTTCTTTACAAGGTCTTTTAAGGCTAAACTATTTAATTAAGAAATGACACCTAAATTATTTTCACTTTTAGCTCAATAACTCAAATGATTACTCGAAGTCCACAGTGTGGGCTTTTTTGTCTAATTACAAAACACTAACACTTACAAAGAAGAAGGTGAAGAATAAGGACTAGTAACTGGTTTAAAACTAGTTTATTTTAGTTATATATATATATATATATTATTGTAGTCCATTTTAGTTATGTATATATTATTGTATTCTAAAACTCTAAATTTTCTACTCAGTGAAATCACACACTTCTAACTGAACACATTGTCCTAGTGCTATCAATCAGCTTTGGAAGCTCTCTCTACACGCCCAAGTCAAACACAGTGTTCTCCTGGGGGTCAGAGTTTGTCAGCACAGAAAGTTTAAAACTCTCAGCATCCAGAACTCCAAAATCTCTTGTTGCATTCCCTCTGTCTCACCTGACTGCTGGCAATGCACAAGCACTGCCCATCCCTGTGGCACACACACCTGCACACACCTGTGCCCACTCTCCCCTGTGTGCAGCTGGTATTTCCTGACTCCTTCCTTCCCCTTGCCTCCTCAGAGGTGTAGCAGTGCAGGAATTTGTGGGCACATCAGAAAATTGGCACGCCAGCCTGCCTGGGCATGCCTGGGAGGCACAGGAATCTGGGAGGGCTCTGCAGGTGTTTGATCACATCAGCCCCACCTGGGACTGATGCTCTTCCTGCTGAGGTGTTCCATGAAATGTTTCTGAGCATGGCTGTGGGGGGAAGGTGGAATTCCCAGGGTTGACACCCCCAGGGAATGACACTCTTGATTGGAAAATCACTTTTCCTAGGAAAAATAAATCATTTTAAGGCATGAAATTAGGGCTCTGCAAAATGTTCCTGAAAACATTCCTGTCTCTTAGCTGGGCCAGTGCAACTTCTTGTGAGACCAAAGCATTAACAGATTGCTGGCAAGGCCTGGATTTTCCATACCTTTGGCAATTTTATACCAGGAGAAGTGTCTGGAGGCAGAGGATGCCTGGAGCTGGGAAGCAGGGATTCCTGTTTGTCTCTGTGGAAATTCCCCCAGTGAGGAGTGCACTCCTTGTGTGAGCTTTGCCTTGCCAAGGCATCCATCAGCTAATGTCACACTGATAGTGATCTTGGGTGTGCTAGGATGGACTTGCTCCTGGAGATGGGACCAGTGGGGTGGGGAGGATGCCTGGTGGCTCCTCAGCAGATCTGTAAAAGCATTTTAAGGACAGGTTTAGAAGGAAACAGCACGTGCAGCTCAGCCTCTGAAGCATAGAGGAGAAAAGCGTGGTGGGGGCTGGAGTGAGCTGGGCACAGCCCCGCTGCCCTCAGGGTGCCCTCAGGGTGGGCCGGTCCCTAACAGGCTGTGCTCGGCAGGGCTACGCGGGCCGGCCCCGGGAGTACATCGCCACACAGGGCCCCCTGCTGAACACCGTGAGCGACTTCTGGCAGATGGTGTGGCAGGAGGAGGCGCCCCTCATCGTCATGATCACCGAGCTGCAGGAGCGCAAGGAGGTACCAGGGAGCCTGCCCAGCCCTGGGCACAGCGGGAGGGGGTGCTGATGGCAGCAGAGGGCTGTGTGAGGCCACATGTGGGGTCGTGCACCCACTCACTGTGCTTCTGTCTCAGAGGGTTCCATGATGAATCACAAGTGGAGGAGGAGATCCCCAGGGCTGCAGCCTTGGCCCTGTCTGGTTTTCCTCCTCATGGCTGTGTGCTCTGGGCTCTCTTTACCAGCCAGATAATAAAGGGTGAAAGCTGGATAAAGGGTTTAGGGCAGCCCATAGGGATGGGGCAGCAGCAGTGGGCAGCAGTGCCCTCTGGCTCCCCAGAGCTCTGCCTGGGCTGAGAGCTCTCAGCCAGGGGATCCAGCCCAGGGGAGAGGGCACTGCTGCTCACTGCTTCTGCTTCTGGGATGGGAGCCAACAGCACCTGCCTGGGGGAACTGAGAGCTGGAAATGCTTTCCTTGGCATGTCCTTGCTCCCTTCTCTCCCTTCTCTCCCTGTGCCCTGGGTCCTGCTGCATCTGGAAGCTTCCTGGGCTGAGCAGGGATACACATCCCTGGGGCCTGAAAGCCAGGGCAGGGCATGGGAGAGGGTGCAGGGATAGGGATCCATCCTTTCTTTGCTTTCCCTTTGTACCACTTTACCTCCACCTTCCCCACTCCCCTACTGCCCCCAAGGTGAGGATCCCTCCCAAGAGCACTGACTCAAGCACAGTTCAGACATCCTCGAGGAGGGTCCTTGGGTGCCTTGAGCATCTCCACAGCCACAAACCTGCCTTGTTCTCCAGAAATGTGTCCACTACTGGCCTGAGAAGGAGGGCACCTACGGCCCCTTCACCATCCATGTCCAGGCGGTGAGCGAGTCTGTGGAGTACGTGGTGCGGGACCTCTCCATCCAGGTGGGTCTGAGCCTCATCCTGGGGGCACAGAGGGAGCACCTGGAGCCCAGCAGTGCCCCTGGCACCCCTGGCATCTCTGGTGAGATGGCAATGCTCTGTGACATGAAAGAGGAGGGTTCATGATTCTCAGGAGGGCCCTGCCAGAGGAGGGGTGTGCAGAGCCTGGGGAGGCTGGGAGGGAGCAGGAGCCAGCCCTGGGGTGCAGAGGAGAAGGGTCAGCTGGGCAGAGCAGCACCAGCCTGGTATTTTTGCACTGTGTCACTGGGCTCTCTGTTTCACCCTGAGCTGACACCAGCCAGAGGATCTGGCTTGCTTTGCCTGGACTCTGGGACAGTATTTGAACACTCTGCATCTGTTCTCATCCTCTGGGATGGGACACATCCATTGGCTCTGGCCCTGGAGTCTCTCCCTCATGTCTGGCAGAGGCTCGAAGAGGGATTCAGGAGGAGAGTGGCTGAGATGGGTGCAGGCTGCTTGAGCTCTGCTGAGCTGAACTCCCCATTTCATCTGGCCCATACCCTCACATCCCCATTTCTCTTTGTGCTGTGCTGGAGAAGCTTGGGAAGGAATGCCGCAAGGTCAAGCACATCCTCTTCCCCTCCTGGCCGGACCAGCAGACGCCTGAGTCAGCCAAGCCCCTGCTGCACCTGGTGGCCAAGGTGGAGGAGGCTCTGCAGACTGCAGCCAGCCCAGGGCCCATCGTGGTGCACTGCAGGTAAGAGCTTGCACCTCACTGAGCCCTGTCTGTGCTTTTCCTCAAGGTCAATCCCCTGTGAGTGCTCACACACAGGTCCCAGGTGGTGCAGAAAAACCAGGGCACAGCCACCCACAGCAGAGCTGTCCTGGCAGCTCAATGGTGGCATTAGAGTGGCATATCCTGCACTGGGGTCCAGCAGGGTGGGAGCAGGAGTGGTCTGCATTGGGACTCAGCCACCAGCCCTACCCTACACCCACAGCTCCAGCTCTGGAAGGTCCTGCTTGAGCAGGGAGTTGGAACCAGGTGACTCCGTGGTTGGTCCCTTTGAACCTGACCCATTCCTGCTGCCTGTGCCACCCAGCATAGCCTGTGGCTTGGATGTGGAGCCATGTTCCAGGACAACCCTCCTGCAGGAGGTGGCCTCTACCTGTTCTCTCCTTGCTGAGTGAATTTGGGGACGGTGGAGCACAGCACCCAGCTGTCCCTAGGGAACATGCAGCATGCACTGCTGCAGGCTGAGTGCAAAGCTGGTGCTGGGGTTAGAGCCCAGCTGGGAGGGGAGGGGCTGCAGAGCCCCCTGCACTGCACAGGGATGGGCACAGACTGGTTTTGTGCTTGCAGAGCAGCCTCAGCCTTCTGTGCCAGACAGCAAGAGCTCCCTGCCATGGCAGAGTGACCTCAGCCCATGGATTTGGTGCCTGGCTCAGAACCTTGGTCTGGCAGCTGGGGCCAGGACCCAGCATCCCTCTAGGCAGAGATCCCAATCCAGGAGTGCAGCAGCTCAGCAATTCCAGCACAGGCAGTGGGTGCTGAGGGTGCTCACAGCTGTGTCTGCCCTGCAGCGCGGGCATCGGCCGCACCGGCTGCTTCATTGCCACCAGGATCGGGTGCCAGCAGCTGCAGGACACGGGGGAGGTGGATATCCTGGGCATCGTGTGCCACCTGCGCATAGACAGGTGGGTACACCGGGCAGGGGGCTCCCTGCTGGGTGCCAGCCTGCCAGCAGGGCTGGGGGAGGGATGTGGCAGAGACATGGGCATGGGCATCCCAAGGGGCACAGGCACGATTTCTGCTGGAAACCAAACAGGTGGCTGGGAGAAGCAGGTGTGTGGGTAGCAAACAATTTCCAGTCCCAGGCTGGTTCTGCAGTCAGAGCTGTTGTAGCTCTGAGCTGAGGACACAAGGGAGGGAGAGGTGCTGTGAACCTGGCAGCCATCTGCTCCTCCTCTCCTGCTCAGCCACTAAATCCAGAAACACTCCACCTGGCCACTTTTCAAGAAGTACAGGTGAAAATTAGCACCAAATCAGCTGCTAATCTCATTTTGAACAGCCCAGCAATGCTTCTGAACCCCTCTATTCTCTGGGCTGCTCTGCTGCCTGTTTCAGAGGCATCTTGACATGGTTGGTGCAGCGGGAATGTTTGTGCCCTGGGAGCAGAGAGCTGGAGCAGGGTTCTGTGTCTGTGAAGTGTCAGTGGGCCCTGCCTTTCCCTTGCAGGGGTGGGATGATCCAGACGAGCGAGCAGTACCAGTTCCTCCACCACACGCTGGCTCTCTACGCCTCCCAGCTGCCAGAGGGGGCAGCCCGCTAGTGCAGGGCTCCCGCCGGGCCTGTGGCTCCCTGCTCGGACCTCTCCTGCACCAGCCTGGGGACACCTTCACCAAAACCCCTCCTGATGCTGCCAGGCCACAGAGCAGCAGCATGAGCATCCCTCGGGATGAGCACAGCCCAGCCAGCCCAACTGTGGCTTTGGACCCTGGGGATGAGCAAGGTGAGGTGCTGCACTGGCTGCTCCACGTGGCCACTGCTGCTGCCACCAGGCAGATTTCACCCACGGAAAGCAGCTTTGGCTTTTGAGAGGTGCAAGATCCTGACCCAGAAGAGCAAGCTGTGTGGAGGAACTGCAGCTGGCAGATGCTGGGAGCGTAGTTTGCCTTTCAGCTGCACACAAATGTCCACCCTGCCAGACACAGCACTGGTGGAACTACCCTGAAATAAACAGAGCCTCTGTCCTGGCTGTGCATCCTTGTGGGCAGGGCTGGGCTTGCTCCAAACATGCTTCTTGAAGCTCTTCTGGTTAAGACACACCTTGATGGCTTGGTGCACAGTCACTAACAGTGTTCCACAGCTTGCTTTCCTCTCCACCTTCAGCCAACACCTCCTCAACAGCCTTAAAGCAGAATCATAGAATTATAAAGGTTGGCAAAGACCTCCAAGATCATCGAGTCAACCTCTGATCAAACCCCACTGAGCTCACTAAACTGCATCATGAATTGCCATATATATTTGTTTCTTGAACACCTCCAGGGATGGTGAGTCCACCACCTCCCTGGGCAGCCCGTGCCAGTGCTTGAGCACCTTTCAGGGAAGAAATTTTCCCCAATATCCAACCCAGACCTCTCCTCTCTCTAGCAGGGGAGATTCCCAAGTGCAGTTTGCAAGTGATGTCTTCCCAATTGCCTTTTGTTCCATGATTTTGAATTCTTGGGGTTTTTTTCTGAAATCAGAACAAAATAATATTTGGCTTTATTAGGTTGTGTTTTTAACTGATAAATGCAGGGGGGAAATACTAGAAAATGGAAAAACATTTTGTCATAAAGCATGGAGATGGAAATACTCTGGGAAGTATTTTGAAGTACTGTAAAGGTATTCAAAGCTGCCCTTGCCAATAGGCATTGGACATCCCCTTGGGCAGTGAGGGCTGGGAAGGAGATGGGAAATGCCCAGTCTGTGCCCACCCATGTCATGAGCCCTGACATGACCCAGTGTGAGATCCAAGGCTCAATTTTCCTGCTGGAACATGTGTGTGCATGACCTTCCCCCCTCCATGGCTCCCCAAAATGCAGTTGAATTGCTGCCCAATGGTCATCCCTGCCCACTTCCCTCCCTTGGCACCAGGAGCAAATCTGCTTCCTGGCCCAGTAGCAGGAAAAGGAGCAGATCTCAAGTGCCATCCTTTCACTTGCTGCATTTCCATCACCCTGGCAGAGAAATCCCATGAGTGCCAGCTCAGCCCTTCCTCATGCCCCAGCCTGCCCAGCAAGGACATTTGGGGGGGAATTGTGTTCTCTGTGGGACTCCTGTGTGATACTCAGGCACTTGGAGAGGCTGTGGAGCTTCTGCAAGCTCCCTGCAGGTCAATGCATGGCTCAGGACTTTGCCTTCTCAGGTAACTTGGTGTAACACTTGTCTTTAATGGTGTCTCTGAGGCACCCATAGAGGTTTGAGTTGTCAGACGGGCTTTATTCAGCATCCCCCTCCTCAAGTCTTTCCTTACCCACTGCCATCAGGCAGGAGAAGTTGAAGACTTGCAAACTGCACCTGGACAGTTTTCCTGCACTCTCTGGACAGCAGGACACACAATTTTCCTCTTGCTTTCAGTCTGCTGTCCAGAGGAGAGCTCTCAGGGCAGGCTCAGGCCCGAGGGTCTCCCAGGGCATGCAGGAGCAGGAGCAGGATCCCAGCTGGGCCAGGGGTGTTGGCACCTCCTCCCAGATTCCCCATCAGGTGCTGGGAGCTTTTCCAGCTCAGCTGTCTGATGCAGATTATGATCAGTTAAGCAGGTTTCCTGCCTTTGATCTCAGTTTCTACCAGCTCCATCTGCTCCACACTCACCTGGCCCCTGTGGGAGTTCTCTCCATGCACTGACCCCCTGAACCATCCCCTGTGCTATTGCCAAACCCTCCCTGGGCTCAGCCCATGTCAGGGGTGCAGCAGGGTTTGTGTAGCTCACTTTGGGGTCATTGGGAGTGGGGCTGGCCCAGCCTCATCCCCAGTGGGTGCAGCTGTGAGCAGCACTGACAGCACTGAGCCATGGAGTGCCCAGGTGTGCTGAGCAACCACAGAGGGAACAGAGGGCACACAGGGGCAATGCATGAACATGAGGGTGGGCTAAAGAACAAGAAGGGTCAGTTCTTGAAGCCCTCTGAAGTGATGTGGTGCTGCTCTGTATGGGTTGAAGCCTTCTGATATTGCATGGCGACACTCTGTGTGTTGTGGCCATCTCACCTGTGACATGTGCTGTGACAGGTTTGAGCTGCTCTGGCTGTGTCCTGAGAAACTGCCTGAGGTTCATAAAGAGCACAGGGTGCCAGAAGACAGAGAAAAGGAATCTCTCTAAAATCTTGTGCTCTCCCATGCCCTGGGCTAGCATTAAGCCCCTGAACTTGGCCAAGGATTTTAGCACAGCCAAGATTGCTGCTGTTCCTCAATCCCCTCCTTAAACCCCAGGTATGGTCCCAGCTGTCCTTATCCTGCTCCAGAGGAGGTACAGCCCAGCCTGGCAGAGCTGGGGGCCCTGGGTTGCAGCGTCCTGATAACCATGTCCCCAGGAGGCCAGCTCCTGCCCAGGGCTCAGGAAAAATCCTTCCTCCATAAAGTTATAAACCAGTTTGGGTTGCAATTCCATCTAGTCCCAACCCCTTCCACCATCCCAGGCTGTTCCAAGTCCAACCTGGCTCCAGGGATGGGGCAGCCACAGCTTCTCTGGGCAGCCTGTGCCAGGGCCTCACCTCCCTCTTTGAGAAACATTTCTTTCTTAAATCTAAGAAAATATATTAGGTATAAAGATATAAGATCCTGTCCTATCCACATAACTGTAAATTTGGCCTGGGGTTTTCCAGATTGGTAGTCCTTGCAACAACTCACTGGGATGGGAGGAATAAAGCATGGTGGCCACATGGCACACATCACTGTTGTGGCACACACCAGTTTGGTGGTGGCAAGTAGACCCAGAATGCTCCAAATTCACTTGCAGCTGGTGGAAAGCTTCAATGCCATCAAACACAGCACAGCTTCAGCAGGTCATTGGAAAGGCAGAGCATGTGCCAAAATCTAGCAAGCATTTTGATTAATTAATAACAGCTTTGCTCTCAGGTGAGGGATGGTAACCACAGGCTCCAACAGCACCTGTGGACTCCAAGTAATCAGTGACCAAACTATGACCTGGAAAGGAGACATTTCAGGGCACAATTTGACATTTCCAGGCAGCACTGGGGTGCCAGGATCTCAGGAGGGCCCCGTGGGAGCACCTGCAGCAGGTGGGAGCCCATGGAGGATGAGGCCCACAGCAGCACCCAGAGCCAGAGGGAGGCTTGACTGGGGGCTGGGAGCACCAGGGACACTGAGGGACATGGCAGTGACAGCTCTTGGTGCTGCTCCTTGGTAAGCGAGGGTTAAACTCAACCAGGGGAGCACCAGGAAAAGCCTCCCCTCACCCATGTGGGGTGGCACAGCCCTGAGCTCTGCTTCCTTAAGGAATTTGGTTGAGCAACCACATCAAACCCTCTGGGAATGTCAGACATGCTCTGGAGAGGTCTGGGGCTCTCAGGTCTGGAGAGGCCCTGGGGTGGTGCCACCTCTTGCTACCCAGTCCCCAACTCTGGCATGGACACCATGGGGTGACACCATTGGGACAGTGCTGCGAGGGTGCAGCCGCAGGGACCAGATCTGCTGGGTGACCCCTGCAGGTGCCACCATGGACCCTCTGCAGGGAGTAGGGCTTGGCACCCTGGTTCAAACCACTGGGAAACAGCCAAATGTCCCCAAACCTGTCAGGGCTGACTCCCCTTGATGGGAATAAGGGAAATAGGGTGGGTGGAGTGGGGATAGTGCATGAAAATGATCTGTTTTGCTCATTTGGTTGTATCTCCCAGTGTGGGGATGGTCAACAACTGAGCTGTAGTGGCTGCTGTGAGGGGTAAGTTTGGTTTGGGCACTGGATGGGCAGTGTCTGTGGCAGGGACTGCAGGAACACCCAGGGGCAATCTCTAACAGCTTCAGTGCTACAGGAATGCTGGGGTGGGGGGAAGCCCCAAACTGGTGTAGGGACATTCTTTGGGCTGGAATGTTTATCAAAAATCTGATTTCCCTCTGTATTCATGGGGCCCCACCTCGAATGCTGGTGGGGTCATGAAAAGAAAGGCACCTCAAGTGCTGGAGCATGTCCAGAGAAGGGAGTGGAGCTGGGGAAGGGTCTGGAGCACCAGGAGGGGCTGAGGGAGCTGGGAAAGGGGCTCAGCCTGGACAAAAGGAGGCTCAGGAGGCTCAGGGAGCACCTTGTAGCTCTGCACAACTCCTGACAGGAGGGGGCAGCCAGGGGGGTTGGGGTCTGCTCCCAGGGATCAGGAACAGGAGGAGAGGGAATGGCCTCAAGTTGCACTGGAGGCAGTTTAGATTGGATATTAGGAAAGATTTCATCACCAAAAGGGTGGCCAGACCCCGGCACAGGCTGCCCAGGGCAGTGGTGGAGTCCCCATGGACACGGTTCAGTGGTGACCATGGCAGTGCTGGGATCACGGTTGGACTCGATGATATCAGAGGACTTTTCCCATCTGAACAATCTTCTTATTCTATGAAAAAAAATATCTTCAAGGAGAAATTCCATGCAAGATTTGGAAGATTATGAATTTTTCACTGGTATAAGGAGTTCTGAAGGGGTGATTACAGAAAACAATGATATTTCTGCTTCCCAGGCCTCCCTTTAGGAGCACAGGGATCCTGAGCAGGCTGCAGCAGCTTGGAGAGCAAAACACTTTCTGTCTCCAAAAATAAAGTCAGCTTCCCTGTGACTTATAGCACATGAGGGAAACTTCCCCACCATTAATTGTCAGGGCTGTGAGGTGAATTGAGCTCTAACCCAGTTTCCCCATTTCCTGTGCACACCCATTTGTCTCAGGCAGCTCCAGCAGTGGATTCAGCATTTTGTGTCTCACAAAGCACCAGCAGCTGCTGCAATAAAGGACCTGCTGTGAGGGAACTGCAAACAGCCTGGTGTGTCAGTCCTTGCTTTAGGCCTGGCTCAAACCCCACGTGGATGGAATGAGCCCTGTTGGAGTGGCACAGCCAGGGAGCCCCTGTGTGGGAGAGCAGAGCAGAGCCAAGGCATAGCCACAAGGCAGATTTGCACCCCCAGCCCAGCAGAGCTGAGCAGGGCCAAGGCAAGAGGGTTTAGAGACATCTGAGCCTGATGGCTGAAGGCTGCTGAGGCAGCAGGCTGGGTACAGCTCTCACAGGAACATCCTCTGAGGGAGCTGTGCCTTTGGGTTGTGTCTCGTTCTGCAGGTGGGAATTGCCAGCTTCTGTGGCATTGCTCGGGGCTCCTGGCACCCCCTGCACCCCAGTGCCACCCTGGCTGCTGGACCCAGCTCTGCTACACACCCCACACCTGCACCCCCAGTTCTCCTGCACTTGATCACACCCTGCACCCTCCAGTACCCCAGGACCTCTGCAACCCCTGCACCCTGCATCTCCCCCACCCACACTGCTCACACTGCCTGCACCCCTCAAACACCTGCACCCCCAGCACCCTCAGCATCCCTACAGCCTGCTCCTGAACCATCTCTGCACCCTGCAGCCTGCGCCCAAACCATCCCTGCACCCCTGCAGCTTGCACTCAAACCATCACACACACATCACCTGGGGAAACCGAGGCCTGAGGCCAAGCACAGCCTCCAAAGGCACCAAAGCAGTGACTGTCCCACCACTGAAGAAAACAGGAGGTGGATGAGGTCCTCCCTGTGCCCATGGAGCTCCCATCAGAGCAGGTGCACCTCCCTCAGGGCTGGAGCTCAAAGTCCCCCCTCACCCACTGGTGCTCCCCGAGCCTCAGGAGCCAGGGGCCCTGCTGGGGCCTTGCCACCCTTGGTGTTCCCTTGGCACAACTCCTCTGGATGCCACCAGCCCTGGGCAAGGGGCACCCATGGCCAGGGGCAGCTCCTGCCGCGGCTGTACCTATGGCCGGTGACACCAGGGGGACAGTAGGGCAGGAGGGCAGAGGGGCAGCCCCACGGGCTGGCTCTGCCCTGCTGGGTGTGCCAGGGCTCCCAGTGGCACTCTCAGGTGTTTGGGGGGCTGGGGTGCAGGTACAGGTGCAGGATTGGGGTGTGCCCCATGGCATGGCTGGAGGGGCTGGTGCCAGCTGTGCCAGGGCACTGCCAGGGGTGCAGGGAATGCACCTGCCGGGTGCAGGTGACCAGCACGGGGGTGATGGAGGTGGAGGTGCTGGGTGCAGGTGACTAGCACGGGAGGCACAGGGTGATGGAGGTGGAGGTGCCAGCTACAGCGGGCACCAGGTGAAAAGGTGCTGGGGGCACAGGAGTGCAGGCTGGGGGATATTGGGGCTGCAGGAAGGCTGTGGGTGCAGGGGAGCTGGGGTCCAGGTGTGTCGGGGTGCAAGGGTGGGCTCGGGGGGATGTGCAGGGGTGTGGGGTGCAGCGGTACGAGGGTGCACCCATCACCTCAGGATCTGAGGGTGCACTCCCCTCCTCAGGATCTGAAGAGCCCTGGGTTACCAAGGGTCGGGGATGCCGGCAGTGACCAGGGCAGGGCTGTGGGATATTCCGGCCTGTCCGGGCTGTCCGGTGTGTCCGGGCTGTCCCGGGGCCCGGCCGCTCGGTGCAGCGGCTCCTCCGGGCCGGCAGGGGGCGCGGCAGCGGGGCGGGGGAGGCGGCGCGCGGGCCCCACCCGGTGCGGCAGCAGGGCCCGCGGCGCGCGGACAATACCGGCGGCGGCTCGGCCTCCATCGGCTCCGCTCGGCCCCGATCGGCTCCGCTCGGCTCCACCCCGACTGGCCCCGCCCCGACTCGGCCTCGCTCGGCTTCACTCGGCCTCTCTCGGCCCTGCCCGGCCCGGCCGCGCTCGGCTCGGCTCGGCCCCGCTCGGCTCGGCCCGGCCCAGCCCCGCTCGGCCCGGCCCGGCCCAGCTCCGCTTTGCTCGGCCCGGCCCGGCTCGGCTCCGCTCGCCTCAACTCGGCCCCGCTTAGCGCGGCCCGGCCCGGCCGGCACCATGCTGGCGCTTTTCAACAAGCTGCTGGACTGGTTCCGGGCGCTGTTCTGGAAGGAGGAGATGGAGCTGACCCTGGTGGGGCTGCAGTACTCGGGCAAGACCACCTTCGTCAACGTTATCGCGGTGAGCCCGGGGACGCTCTGCATCGCCCCATCCCCGAGGGGTCACGTGCCCACCAGGGCTTCACCCTTGGACCCCCATTGCACCCCCATTGCACCCTCATTGTACCCCCATTGCATCCCCATTGTACCCCCGTTGTAACCTCATTGTACCCCATTGCATCCCAATTGCATCCCCATTGCACCCCCACTGCATCCCTATTGCACCCCCATTGTACTTCTATTGCACCCCCATTGTAACCCCACTGCATCCCCATTGTACCCCCATTGTACCTCCATTGCATCCCCATTGTAACCCCACTGCATCCCCATTGTACCCCCATTGCATGTCCCCATTGCACCCCTGGATATTCTCAGAACGTCTCCACCCTATCGCACTCCAGCCTGAAAATGCCTTTATGGAGGGGGTGCAGGCTGTGGGTGCGGGATGCAGCAGTGGGGTACAGTGTCGGGTACAGGCTGCAGTGGGCTGCAGTGTGGGGTACAGCAGTGGGGTACACGGTGGGGTGCAGGGTGGGTTTCAGGGTGGGGTGCAGGGTGGGGCACAGTATGGGATGCAGGGTGCAGGCCCGGGGCAGCCCAGGCCATCCGCAGCGTTTGCTCCCCACATCCCCGGAGCCAAGGGAGTGCTCGGGTCCGGCTCGGCCCTGCCCTGTGTTCCGGAGCCCCGGCCGTGCTCAGCGGTCGGTACCGGTGTCGGTGCTCTGTGGGCCGGGCAGTGACGCCCGGGCGCTGCGGGAGCTCCGCTCTCGGTCCCATAGCAGCAGCGGGCGCTTTGTCATGGTCGCTGCCGCCGCCTCAGGACGGCCCTGCCGCGCTCGGTGCCGCCGGGTATCCTTCCCTTGGGGCCGGTGTGGAGGTGTTTGCCTTCCTTCCTCGGGAAGCACGAGGTGCCTCACCCAGCAGCGTGCTGTGGGTGCGGGCCGCTCCTGCAGCAGCACCGAGCGGGGCAGGGCAGGGCAGCGATCCCACCCCGGGCCCCTCAGCCCCGGCCTCTCCCTGGCCGCGCTGCTCATCCGCGGGCTCTCTGCATCCAGCACAGCTTCGGGAGCTGCTGTCCTGCATCCCGAGCCCAGGGCGTGGCTTCACTCGTGGGGATGCTCGGCAGGCTCCCCTCCGGCTTTTTGGGTTGTTCTGGGGCTCTCAATAGTGATGGTGCAGGGCGGGAGGATCCTGAAGGGTGGGTTTGGGCTGTTCATGGAGGGAAGTGGATGCAGATCCGCCCTGGTTCCCCCACTGGTCCCTGGTCCCTCCGAAGTCTGCCTGCCATGGCTCCACAGAGTGAGTTGCTGGTGCTTGCTCAGGATGCTGGAAGCTGCTGGGCTCTCAGAGGGGATTTTCAGCTCATGGAGGCTCTGTTGCACTGGAGCCATGCTCTTTGGGAGGTGCTGAGCGACATAAATGTCCTTCCTGAAGTGTCTAGGGGCAGAGAGAGGACACCCCAAAATGCTTTTCATCCTGGAGATGGTGGCACTCCTGCTCTCTTGCTGGAAGTCACTTCTCAGTGCTCCAGTCTCCTGCTGGTTCCTCCCATAAACCAACACCAGCATCTGGGGTCAGGGAGCATTTTGCATCTGGGGCAGTGACCCTGAACACCAATCCTATTTTTGTGAGACCTCTCCCTGCCATTTGCATGTTCAATAGTCAATTTTTGTAATCCCATGGCAGGGTTGGACGTGGTGGTGCCACGTGTGAGCTGCTCCTGCTCTTGGTCTGCTGGGTGCTGCTGCCTGTTAACAGCACTCAGGCTACCTTAAAAATGGCAAACTAATTTAGTGTTGGTTTTAATCACCCAGTTAAGCTGTGAAGGGTGATGGAGCTTTATCCCAGAGCTGCTGCACTGTTCTGCCTGCAAAGGACAACCCTGAGGGTTGGTGTTCCTCAGTTCCCTGTTCCCCATGTGCCTCCTCCTCTCCCAGCCACATCTGGAGCAGACAGAACTCACTGTGAGCATTGTGGGGTTTGCTTCTGTGAGCAAATACTTTGTACCTGGCACTTTAACTGTGGGCAAGACCCCACTGGCAGGACCCATGCACTGGGACTCTCTGCTTAGCCAGGATTGCTGGTGTCAAGCCTGGCACAATGAATTTTGGGGAATTACAGCAGCTCTTGAGGTGGCTGAAGTTGGCACCATGGCCTGCTGGTCTGCCAGGTTTGTTGTGGGGTGTTTGAGACCCTCACACAGCAGTCAGGCTCAGGGTGCTGAGTTTGGCCTCTCAAGTTATTTGGAAAGTTCAAGTTTTGTGGCAGATGGACGCAAAAAGGGGCACCCACTTTTGAGAAGATATCCTGGAAAGAAGGACTTGTTGGGCACAGTGAAACAGGAGCATGGCACAGGAAATGCCAACTCAACAGGAGCTGCCTGACAAGGTCTGGAGGTGCCTGGCTTTAGGGTGTTGCAGTGGGGTTGTTGGAAGGGGAAATAGCTGTGATTTGGGCTTTGTGAGGGGATAGAACCTGAACTGGAGAAGCGTGGGATTTTGGGGTGTTGGAGAGATATCACAAGAAGGCAGAAGGTCCTTTCTGGGACCAGAGCTGCTCTGGGGGTTGGCACCAGCCTTTTCTTGCAGGAATTGTAGCTGCAGCTGACTGAGAAGTTGATTCTGGTTCCCTGGCAGGTGGGCGCTCCCTCCAGCAGCCAGGCTGTGCTTGTGCCCCACAAGGGCTTTGCTGAAGGCAGCTGTGATCAGGGTGACACCTCCTGGGTCACCTGCCTGGGGTGGGAACTTTGATTTTCAGGACTTATTTTTCTTTTCCTTGCTGTTGGTAGCTGAGGCTTGAAGTCTTTCCTGCAAGAAGAACTGTAGATACACATCTGGTCTTGATTTACCCTGAAGCTAGTGGGCTTTTAGCTGCCTTTTCTGCAGTCTGGTGGTGCCATGGGTGACTCAGGGGTGTTGAGAGCTCCTCAGAGGGTGCTGGGGCCCAAAACCTGTCAGTGCAGGCTGTGGTTAGAACAAGAGAGCATTGCTGCTTTTTAACATCACATGCTTTCTACCTGGAGTGCTGGAGCCTTCCAAGAGAGTGGAGACACAAGTGCCAGGGTGTTGGAGATGTGGTGGGGGTTCTGGGGCACCATCCTGTGCTCCAGCCCTGCCTGGAAAGTGATTGAATGAGACAGTGCTGCAAGAGGGAACATGGAGCTCCTGGAGCCACTTCAGTGGAGGCTGTGAAGGTGCTGACAGGACTGGAGCATGTCTGTTATGGGGACAGGCTGAGGGAGCTGAGGCTGCTGAGCCAAACAGCCTAAAAGAAATGGCTGAGAGGGGCCCTCATCAGTGTCTGTCAGTGTCTGCAGGGAGGGCTCAGAGGATTCACCAGGCTCTGCTCCCTGGGGCCCAGCACTGGCACAAAAGGAATGGACAGGAGCTGATGCCCAGGGAGTTCTACCTGGACATTTGGAAGAACTTCTTTCCTGTGCAGTGACTGTGCACTGAACAGGTGCCCAGAGAGGTGAGGGGCCCCCCTCCCTGGGGACATTCCAGAGCTGTGGGGTGATCCTGGTTGAGCAGGGGGGTTGGATCAGGTAACCCACTGTGGTCCTTCCAGCCTGACCCGTCCTGTGAAACCACATCAGCCTCATGATGGCTCCAGGTAGGATGTGGATGGTGGATGATGGGGCAGGTGCCAGCTCTCCCGCAGGGATCTCAGGGAAGGCATGGCCTGGTAGTGGCTCAGAGCACTGCAGAGCTCAGCACCTGCTCCCACCCCTCCTCAGAGAGACACTGACCCCTTGGGCAGCCAGCTGACCCACCTGGGCAGGAGGTGCCCTGGATGAGCCTGGGAGGGAATGTGCAGCTCCAGGTGTGCAAGGTGCCCAGGGTTTGCTGGGGTAGAGCAGAGAGGTGCTGAGGAAGTAGCAGAGAGATGTTCTGATGCATTTGCACTGGTCTGTCCTGTCACCCACCTCTCCCAGGAGCTCTGGGTATGCCCCACTGGGTGGGAGGTGGCTGTGGGTTCTCATTCTGCCTCAGATGCACACCTGGGCCCTCCACAGGTGTGTCTGTGCTCCTTACCTTCATAATGCAGAAGGTGTCAGGTTTTATGGAGGTTTTCTCCATATTCCTGGAAGAGGAGGAGAATCTGGCTGAGGCATGGTCTTGTCTTGCTGCTGCAAGCTCTGTTAATATGAGCCAAGAGAAATGGACAATGTGGCTTTCCTGAGATAGGATCCCAGAGTGGTTTGGGTTTGAAGGGACCTTTAAAGATCACCTTGTCCAACACCCTCACCATTGGCAGTCACATACAGGCACCTTCCACTGGACTGGTTTGCTCCCAGCCCCATCCAGCCTGACCTTGAACATTCCCAGGGATGGGGCAGCCACAGCTTCTCTGGGTAACCTGTGCCACAGCCTCACCTTTCACATCATAAAAGACTTCTTTTTTATATTTTTATATAAAATTTTCCCTCCTTTTCAGAGCTGAGACAGAGTTTAGCAAGGCCTCAAGTCCCACCTGGCAGGAGTGCCAGGCTGGGCAGTTTTGGGGATGCTCCAGGCAGTGGTGGGAGACACAACCCAAGGTCTTTGGGCTTGTGCCTCTGTCCCAGGGAGGGCCACACTCTGGTGATGGAGACACAGCTGCAGAGAGCCAGGGCTGGGTTCCAGCTCTGCCATCTCTGCCCTCTGGGGAGCAGGGCTGCAGAGCAGCCTGCAGTGATGGATCTAGAGCAGGTCACATCACTCCAGTGCCATCCTGTGCTGGGACAGGGTGACACCACAGTGAGGAGCAGGGCCTGGCCACCTCAGCCCTGTGTGCTGCTCACAGGAGCAGGGAGCCTGAGGTGGCTTCTCTGCATGTGCCAGTGAGCCAAGGTTCCCAACCCTGTGTGGGCCGGGTTGGTGGCTGAAGTGACACATGTGTATGTGTCAGGATGGGCTCAGCATGACCTGGGGGCACCACTTATAACAACCCTTCACTTTGCCCTGGCAAAAGCTGAATTCTGGCCACCTCTCCCAGTGACCCAGCTGGGGTTGGGCAGAAAGGTCTCTTGCCTTCCAGGCAGGGCACCAAGGCAGAGTGGTTTGGGCAGAGCAGTGGGTGACCCTGGCAAAACCAGTAATGAACTGGAGTATGTAAAGACCTGATCTGCCCTTTGTGGCCACAAAATCCATCTTGCCTCCGAAAGTTTTGTGCTTCCCAGTGGAATTGGGTTGGACTCGATCTTGAAGGTCTCTTCCAACTCTGTCATTCTTGAATTCTCTGAATTCTGTTGTTTAGCAGTTGGTGTGGCTTGGCATCATCTTCAGGGTGAGCATGGATGCTATGTCCATTACATAACCAGAATTTGGGGGAAGAATGTGTCCAGTGAAGCTTTTGCTTGTCTCCATCTGGGTGCTCCCTGCTTTCCTGGCAGTGGAGCTGTGGATGGCTGGACCCTGCAGGGAGTTGAAAATGCGTTGAAGGCAGCAGCATCAGGGGTGGTTGGAGAGGGAAGAGGAAACTCTGTGTTTCCAGCACTGAGAGCTGCTTTCAGAGAGCAGCTGATGCAGGATGAGCTGATGGAGGAGGAGCATGTGCAAGATGCCTCTGTGGGTGCTGGGACAGCACGTGGGAGCCATGCTGGGGCACAGTGCCTTGCATTCCCTGCTCAGCCTGTTCTGGACAGCTCAGGTAGTTTTGTTGTGGCTCCATGGACAGCCTGGAGGCTGGGAGAGGGGTTTGGGGCAGGAGCAGGGCTGTGCTCACTCACACAGACATGCTCTGTCCCACTTGAGGGGGAAGGAAGAAGTGACTCCTGGCTCCTGCAGCTCACCCCTTCCTGGAAGAAACTTCTGTCACATGGGAACCTTATCTAGTGTGGCTTTTGCACAGCCAGCAGATGCCAGGATGTGTCTGCAATCCCTGAGGGAAGTGTCTGCAGCTTCCAAGAGCTCTTCAGCAATTGCTCTCTGTGCCCACTGATCAAAGCCTGAGAATTCTTTAATTTCACAGAGCTCAGCTGTGTGTTAAACCTCAGCCCACAGCAGATGTGCCCTGTGGATCCCTGCCTGCCTCCCCTCCTCTCCCCATGCCCTTCCTCACAGTTCTGTGTGGGTGCAGCATGGCCTGAGCACCCCTTGGCTGCTGGCTTGTGCTGCTGAATGCAAAAGGGATGTGAAAAGGGGAAGCAGGAGGTATTGCAGAGCCTTTGGAACAGCTCAGGAAATCCCTGAGGACTTGCTGATGTGGTGCATCTGGAGGAGCCACAGGCTCAGCCAGGCACAAAAATCTGTTTATGCCAAAATAGCATAAACTGACTTCCTGTTTGAGGTTTGTGTTAACTAAGAGAAAAGCCTTCAAGAAACTGAGGATTTTAAGGCAGTAAAGACCTGCTAGGATGTTTGGCCATGGTTGGTGGTTCCTGCAGGTTTCTGGCACTGATGGCTGAAATCCCCAAGGCTGCACTATCCTGGCTGTCAAACATCCTGCCCTACTGTCTCCTCTGCATTCCCCAGCATCCCCCAGGATGCATTTACAGGCCATAATTCTGGTTTGAGGTGAAGGGCTGTGCCAGCTCCTCTCTCCTGCCCCAGAGCTGCCACATCCCTGCTGGGACTGCCTGTGATGTCCCTCTGTGCTGCTGCACCTGGGCCCATCCTGCAGCCCTGGGATTTGAGCAGCACACTGGGGTGGGCTTTGCCAGACTGTCAGAGATGAGTGATGAGATGGTGGCTCTCACAATGAGGGGTGAACTTTCTGTGTGTGTTAAGAGAAGTTTTGTAGATGCAGAGTTGAGTTACTGTGATGTGTCCTCCCTCTCATTGTTATTATGGGATGGCTTGCTGCTCAGGGCATTGGGAGGGTTGGCTCGTTACTATGGCAACACCTGAGCTCCACCCAAGGTGCAAGAAAGTGACAGCAAGGAAGGGGTTAACTGACAGGATTTTAAGGGGGTCTAGAGATATAAAAGGGGGAGCATCCATTTTGAAGATAAGCATGTGGCTGATAGTCACAGGGACTCTGAGCACTGTAATTTTTCCTTATTTAGTCCTTTTGTTGTATTTTTGTACAGATTTTATAAACCTTTAACATTTTAAAAGTGAGGGTTGTTTCTCACAGGACCCCTTGGTGAGTGCTGGGCCCAGCAGAGGGATGGCTCCTGCTCACTGCTCCAGCAAGCCTGACCTGTTCCACAGCAGGCTGGGCTGCTGAAGCCCCACAGGGATGTCATCATCTGCTGCATAAACTCAGCAGACACTGGAGCTGCACTGGAGCAGCTCTGGGGGCCCTTTGTGATCCCCAAGTGACCCAGCACAGGCAGGGTGCAGAACTGGGGGAGCAGTGCAGACAGCTCCCACTTGAAAGCAGAAGTCAGTCTGGTTTGAGCTGGGCCATGAGTGATCCAAAGCAGAAGCATGAACCATGCTGGTGCCCCCAGGACCTGCAGCTGGAGAGAAGCTGGAGCAGGAGGTGCCTCCCTGGGTGGGGAGCCCAGCCTGAAACCCTGGGAGTCCTTCCAGGGCTGCCTCACCTGAGGTCCCTGCAGAGGAGCAAGGTCTCAGCCTCCTGCACAAAGGGTTTGAGAGAGCTGGGATGGGCAGTGCCCCAGCCCATGGGGACAGCAGTGAGCCCAGGGCTGAGGGTGGCAGCTGGCTGCAGGGTTGGGGCTGCACTGGGGCACCCAGGGCACCTGTGCCCATTGCAGCAGCCACAGAGTGTGGTTTAGGAATGGTATTCCCCAGTTTGGTACTCCCCAGTTTGGTGCTCCCACTCCTGTTAGGTGTTGGCTGCCTCTTGCTTCCCTTCCCCTCCAGCTGGAAGCACAAAAGGCAAAGGTGATGGGTTAAGATAAGAACAATTTACTAGAAACAGAAACGAGATAAGAAGACACTGAGAGCAACACTAATAATAACAAAAATGTACAAAGAGAGTGTGATTTACATGCAAAATGCTCAGCAAGCCGGCACAATGACACAATGGCTTCCCTCTGCCCCCAGGCTTTCTCCCACTGGAAAAGAGCAGCATTCCCATGGCCCTGGTGGCACTGTGTCTCCTGGGCTTTGTGCTCCTGGTGTGAACCTGCAGGAGGGCAGAGCCTTGGGATTATCCCAGGCTGTCAGCCTTGCTGCCCTGGCCCCATCCTCCACCTCCTAATGCTGTCCCCCCTTGTTCTTGCAGTCAGGACAGTTCAATGAGGACATGATCCCAACAGTGGGCTTCAACATGAGGAAGATCACCAAAGGAAATGTCACCATAAAGGTAAGATTGTTGTTACTGCTGGTGAGGGCTCTTGGGATGAAGGGTGAAGGTGATTCTTCTTCTGGAGATGGAAGAATTCCAGGGATCCCAGCTGCAGCTCCCAGAATAGAAGCATGGCAGCATTAAGGGTGCAAAGTCCCTTTAAGATCAAGTCCAACCAGGAGTGCCATGTTCACCACTAAACTGTGTGTCCAAGTGCTACATCCCGTTGTTTTGTTAACATTTCCAAGGATTGTGGTTCCACCACCTGGAAGGGAAAGCTTTGCCCTGTTAGGGTTGCAGGTACCCACCAGAGGAGGTGGTGGAAGGGCTGTAGGAGATCCAGACTTGTGCAATGAGAGCCAGTGGAGGTTTCCTTGGATCTCTGGCTTACTGGTAGGAACTTGTGGATGTGGTCACCTTGCTAAGGGTGGCAGTGCTGGGAAAAACAGGTCATGGCTTGCAGTGGTGGTCTCTGCCTTGGGAGCAGAGGAAGAGGAGGGTTCTACCTGGATTTTTCAAGGGCTGGGCTTGTACTGGGAAATAGCTGTTGGACAGGCTTGAAAAGCTGGCTGGGGGACCTCTGGCTGCTGCAGGAACACCTTTGGGAGTGTGCTGAATGTTCTTAAATGGGAAATGCCTCAGGGGAATGGCAGCAGGTGTGATGGGCATGGGAAGGAGCACCCAGCATGGGCCAGGGGTCCCTCTGTGCCAGCAGAGGCACCCACAGGGGGTTCAGCATCCTCCAGCTCCCCTGCCTGAGGGTTCTCCCTTCTTTATCAGATCAGGAGCCTTCTCTGAGGTTTGGTGCACAGCCAGAATGCCCCAGGAGGGGAGGAAGGGTGTGGGGTGCTGGGCACAGTGCCAGGGTAACAGTGCCATGTCCCTGTCACAGCTCTGGGACATCGGGGGACAGCCGCGGTTCCGCAGCATGTGGGAGCGATACTGCCGTGGAGTGAGTGCCATTGTGTGAGTATCCTGAGCCCTGCTGGCACCCCCTGCCATGGTGTGAGTGTCCCTGAGCCCTGCTGTCACCCCCTGTCATCCTGTGAGTGTCCTGAGCCCTGCTGGCACCCTCTGCCATGGTGTGAGTGTCCCTGAGTCCTGCTGTCACCCTCTGCTGCTGCTGCTGAGCCTTGCCAGGGGCTGGGGGCATCACCCCACCCTGGGTTGCTGGGGTGCATTTGCTGCATGAGCTGGACACCAGTGTCAGGAGCTGGAATCACTGAATCATCACTGAGTCATGAAGGTTGGAAAAGGCTTCTGAGATCATTAAGTCCAACCATGAACCCAACACCACCATATTTATCCCCGAATGGTTTTTTAATATCTCCAGGGATGGTGGCTCTACCACTGGCCTGAGCAGCCTGTGCCAGGGCCTGACCACCCTTTTAAAGAAGAAATTTTCCCTGATATCCCACCTAAACCTTTCCTGGTCCAACTTGGGGCCATTTCTTCTGGTCCTGTTCTTTGTTTCTTTAGGAGAGCCTGACCCCCACCTGGCTCCATCCTCCTGTCAGGGAATTGGAGAGACAAGAAAGTCCCCCTGGAGCCTCCTTATTTCCAGATAGTTCCCCTGGGGATTGATGTGTACATGGGCTCTACACAGGTCCCTCCATCTGTGCCAGATCCTCCTCTTCCCTTGCAGCATCCCTCAGTCCTGCTCTGTTCCTCAGAGCTCCCATTTCCAGGCTCCCATGCATCCTCTGTGCTGGCTGCTCACCACAGGGGCTCAGCCCTTCCCACAGGAGAGGCTGCTTTCCAGCTCAGGATGTTCATGTGCTGCCAGATAAATCTTGTGCTGAGAGCAGGAGTCTCACCTGCTCCTGAGTCAGCAAATCTGAGTGTCCCTGGCTGTCCCCTGCTTGCAAACAGTGCAGGAAAAGCAATCCCAGGGAGTCCAGGGATGAGCATAGCAAGGCACTCATGGGAAGCAGCTTGCCTGTTCCAAAGGACAGATACTGGTCTTGGGACACCATCCTGGGGTTACTTAAACCCAGACAGAAAATAAGATTTATGGGATCTTTCCCAAGTGACCATCCCCTGAGATTTGGAGGGCTGCTTTCTGTGCTGCCCTTCCCAATTCTAAACCTTACTGCTTGTTCTGCATGTTGGGACATGGCCTCAGACCTTCAGAGTGTTTTTATTACACTTTTTATTACAATGAGCTTTGCTGGAAATGACAAAATCTCTGTCCTTTCACTCCTTTTGCTGCATCCTTCCATAATGTCATCATTTTGTGGTTGTCAGGAAACAAAAGGACTTGTCAGCATCCCTGCCACACTCCAGTCTGCCCTCATCACATTGAACTGTGTCAGGTGCCTTTCCCTTTGCTCTCAGCTCCCCCCTGTGCCCAACATGTCAAGGGCTGGGGCTGTCCCTGGGGGTGTTTTTTCCTCTTGGCACAGGTTCCCATTTTCCTGTGTTAAGCACTTTAGTAGTTAGTGCTTTTCCTATTTTCCTATTTTTAAATAACTTTTAAAAGTAATTTGGAGCCTCAGCAAAAGTGAACTGAGCTGTCTTAGGGTTTTTACAAACTAGCTAGGATTTATCTCTGCCTCTAGAACTTCCTAGCAAAGGACATTGTTGTGGAATGTATTCTTATTTTTCTTATTTTTAAATAACTCCCCAAAGCCTGATGAGGTGGTGTTTCTCACCCCTTCTCTCCCAGCTTCCTGATCTTTGAATTCAAGGCTGCTTTGATCAGTTGCTCACCCAAGTTTTGGCTTCACTGACATCATGTGCAGGATAAAAATTGGCCTTTAAGAACAAAATCCTTTCCCAAATCTCCCCTTCTGCTCAGAGGAGCATTGGTGGCCCCCAGCTTCACATCCTCGTGCTCCATGGTCCCTCCCAAGATTCCCTTCCATAATGTCAGAATTTTGGCCCTTGTGGTTGTCAGGAAACCAAAGGACCTGCCAGCATCCAGGTCACACTCCAGCCTGCCCTTGTCACATCGAGCTGGGTCAGGTCCCTTTGCTCTCAGCTCCCCCTGTGCCCATCCATCAATAGATGAGGAGGTCCTTCCCCTTCTTGGGTCATTGTCACCTCTGCATCCTCAGCTTATTCTGCCTGCTCTGCTTCCCTGGGTGTTTACATGGCAGCTCCATGTGCATGTTGGAGACCAAGTGTGTCCTGCAGCTCCTGCCTGGCCTTCCCTCACCCACCCTGTCACCTGCAGAGACAAGGATGAGCTGCTCCCCCACTCTGAGAGACATGAGGGGCTCTCAGCTCCACAGCCATCCTTGGGAAGAGGTGGAAGGATCTTGTTATCAACCCCCTCCATGTGCTGGCCCTGTTCCCAGTGAGCTGCTGTGGGAGGAGGTTTGGGGTGGCACAGACACAGCATGGAGATCTGGGCACCTGTGCTCAGGGCTGTCCCTTCCCTTGCAGGTACATGGTGGATGCTGCTGACCAGGAGAAGATCGAGGCCTCTAAGAATGAGCTGCACAACCTGCTGGACAAGCCCCAGCTGCAGGGCATCCCGGTGAGCCTCAGTCCTGCTGCCCAGGCTGGCACTGCCAGGCAAGCCCCAGCTGCAGGGCATCCCGGTGAGCCTCAGTCCTGCTGCCCAGGCTGGCACTGCCAGGGCCTGCAGAGAACATCCAGGGAGGGCTCCCCTTCCTTGGAGCCATCACTTCCCTGCTGCACTCTGAGGGACCAGCTGGGACAGTGACACTTCCTAGGGCAGAACTGGGCCAGGCACACAGAGGGACCTTTGGGGCAAACAGCACAGATCAGTCCCCCTGGGTGAAATCTCCTCTCACATGGATTTGCACTGATTTGTGCTGTGACAGGAAGGGGCTGTGTCCTGTGAGAGGGGCAGCTGGGCTGTGACAGGTGCAGGAGGTGGCACATGGGGCTGTGACAGCATCCAGGTCACACTCCAGCCTGCCCTTGTCACATCGAGCTGGGTCAGGTCCCTTTGCTCTCAGCACCCCCTGTGCCCATCCATCAATGCATGAGGATGTCCTTCCCCTCAAGGTGCAAGAGGTGGGACATGTCACAGGTGTGCTCTACCTGTGTGTTGCAGCCTGAATTGCTGCTTGTAAAGTTCAGGGTAAAGAAGCAAAAAGGGACTTTGCATAATATCCACAGATGTGGAGTGAGATGTTCAGGTCCCAGCACACACACCTGGAGAGTCCTGCTTTCTCCAGGGGCCTGGGCACTGACCCTGGTCTTGGGCAGCACAAAGGTGTCGTGGTTTGGAAAGACAGGAGTCTGCTAAGGAAGGCAGGAGCCTCCCCTGAAATGGAGAATGTAAATCCTCCTCACCCCTCCAAATTGCTATAAATTTATATTAAGGGGCTCTCAGGCAAAAATATGGCAGCAGGAAATAACAGTTCTTTAATAGGGAAGAAATTAAAAGGATAAAATAAACAATGCAGTAAATCAAAACAACACTGACAGAGTCAGAACACAGCCTGACACCCTGTGGGTCAGGCTGTTGGCAGCAGTCCCATTGGAATTGTGGCTCAGCCCTCCTGCAGTGTCAGGGCTGGTTCTGCTGGAGCAGGGATCCTGGAGAAAGGTGCAGTCTCTGCCTCTGAAGATCCAGTGGAAGAAGAGGCAGCTGCTGTTCCTCTGGGGAATCCAGTGGAGAAGCTG